CATTCACTTCGTTGTCGTGTGTCTTTTCCCTTAACGGAACGTAAAGCATTCTTTTTCCCAAAAATGCCACGAAAGGACACCGTTAACCCAAAGGGGTTTTTCAAGGTAATTTATTTAAAACGAATAAAAGGGGGAAAATTTCCTGTTTTACGGGGTTTTTCCCCTTTTTCGTTTTCCATTTAAATTTTTCTCCGTTTTGGGCTTTAAAGGGGAACCCCATTCCCAAAAAGGGGAAGGGGACATTTGCGACAAAGCGAAAACGAGCTTTTTAAAAAACGGGGAAAGCGATAATTTCAACCCCAAAAACCCCAAGCGACCGGGTTAACCCAGTTTTCAAAAAGGGATGCGCAAATGGTGCCTAGAAATGGTCGCCGGTTTAAAAAAAGGGGGACATTAAGAAAAGTCGCTTCCGTTGTTTAGTGTCGCTTTTGCTTTTTCGAGGGGTTGCTTTGCGTTTTTCGCTTGTTTCCCCTTTTGCGTTGTGCCGGGTGTCAATTCGCGGTTTTCGCATGTCAAATTACGATCGAGTGTTTGAGGTTTTTTAGAAAATGATTACCAACACTCGACAATGCGAAACGACAAAGGCGACAATCGGAAAACACGCTCGACCAAATTTGGGGGAAAAATGACCAACCGACCAAATTCCCCCCGGAAAAGCCCCAATTTAAATTTTTTAAAATGTTTTAAATTAAAAAAATTGGCGTTTATTTTTTGAATTTTTTAAGCCCCCAAAACCCGCCAGGCCTCCATTTCGAAAACCCACACGCACCCAAAGGCCCCAAGCGACCCCCTCACAACGAAGCTTAAAAGCCAACGCGGGAACGACAAATCGAAAAAATTCCGAAAAAAGCCGAAATTAAAAGTAATGAATAATATCGTATCGCATTGTCGTGCGTCTACCGGTGCTTGGTGAGAATTTACTAACTCACCGACAAACGGTGCGATCATGGAAGGGGTCGCACTAAACTGCTGACGAATTAGCTGACGATATAGATATAGGGAAACTGCTGACCAGTTAAATAAAGAAGGATTATCGGAAAATGCTGACCAGTTACACAAAGAAGGGAAACATTGAAGGTGTGAAGTTATATAAACACGCCGTAGGGGGTAATAAAAAGATGGGGAATTACTTTTATTCTTTTAATTATATTTTTAATTTTTGCATTTATATGACTATGTTTATAAACTAAATTAATATATACATTTAAAGTACCATAATATCATACATTTTAACACGGATTTACATTACTACATGTAATATAAATCCGTGATTTTAAAAGGATATATTAAACAGCTTTTTATGCCTCTAAAGATATGCAAAAATTTGAATTAATGTTTTATAAAGAATTATGATGTTATGAGTTTTATCAAAATCTCTTGTTAGTGATATTTCAATAGAAAAATCTTGTAACGGAAAAAAAATGTATTTTCAAAAGCAATAATTGCAATTTGAATTAATATTAAATAAGTCAGCAGTGATTTAACTTAATTAAATGTCGACAAAATTTTATACAATATATTGAATTTCGTACATTATAAAATGAATTAAAATTTCACGACAAAATATATTTTTTTCTATATTTCTAACTGGTCAGCAGTTTCCCTATATATCTAACTGGTCAGCAGATTCTACTATATGTTTAACTGGTCAGCATTTTCTCGCCTGAAATGTAAAGAGCGTTAAATTTGCTGACCATATAGAATAAGAAGACTTTTACGGCTTAAATCAATTTGAAATAATATTAAATTGGTCAGCAGTGTTTTTACTTAATTAAATGTCGACATAATTTTATAAAGTATATTGAATTTGCATACATTATAAAATGAGTAACAATTTCACGGCAATATATATTTTTCTCTATATATCTAACTGGTCAGCAGTTTCCCTATATATCTAACTGGTCAGCAGATTCTACTATATGTTTAACTGGTCAGCATTTTCTCGCCTGAATGTGAAAGAGCGTTAAATTTGCTGACCATATAGAATAAGAAGAGTTTTACGGCTTAAATCAATTTGAATTAACATTAAATTGGTCAGCAGTGTTTTTACTTAATTAAATGTCGACATGATTTTATATAATATATAAAATTTGCATACATTATAAAATGAGTAAAAATTTCACGGCAAAATATATATTTTTCTATATTTCTAACTGGTCAGCAGTTTCCCTATATATCTAACTGGTCAGCAGATTCTACTATATGTTTAACTGGTCAGCATTTTCTCGCCTGAATGTAAAGAGCGTTAAATTTGCTGACCATATAGAATAAGAAGACTTTTACGGCTTAAATCAATTTGAAATAATATCAAATTGGTCAGCAGTGTTTTTACTTAATTAAATGTCGACATAATTTTATAAAATATATTGAATTTGCATACATTATAAAATGAATTACAATTTCACGGCAAAATATATTTTTCTCTATATATCTAACTGGTCAGCAGTTTCCCTATATATCTAACTGGTCAGCAGATTCTACTATATGTTTAACTGGTCAGCATTTTCTCGCCTGAATGTAAAGAGCGTTAAATTTGCTGACCATATAGAATAAGAGAGTTTTACGGCTTAAATCAATTTGAATTAACATTAAATTGGTCAGCAGTGTTTTTACTTAATTAAATGTCGACATTATTTTATAAAATATATTAAATTTGCATAATGAGTAACAATTTCGTAGCATTTAAATATATTTTTCTCTATATATCTAACTTTTCAGCAGATTCTACAATATGGTCAGCATTTTAATAACATATTTTTGACTGTTTATTGTATTTTGTCATAGATAAATCAAGAATGACACGTCGCGTGTGAAATCGATTTTAATATGACCTTGGGGCATATCGATTTCGATAAATTATCAGTTTAATAGATATCTGTGGAAACATGTTGTTTATAATGTAATAAAAGCTTATTAACTATAACAATTAGCACATTATTAATTTTTGTTCAATATTACTTATACAATTATACGAACAACAAATAAGGAAACAGAAATCACTTTATTTCATATTTGCACTAAATACGACATAATAATTATATTTTGTTAAAATATACATTACGTATATGTACATGTATATATTTTAACCTATGATGCATAGTTTTATACATACTTGAAACAAATTATGATTTTTCGTACATCATATTTTGACTACATTTTTAAATTTTAACCAATATATAACACATAGAAGAAAATTCATTAAGGTACTTAAATAAAATATTATATCAAAATAAATTGAGAAATATACAGTATATATCAATTGAATTTTTTATAATTAATATGTATCATTTGTAATATTGACATCTTGAAAAAACATTTTATCAAGTATTTCTCGACCTCGCCTGTAATATCACCAACGGCAATTTGACACCTTCATTGTTTTCCCTTCTTTATCTAACTGGTCAGCAGTTTTCGATAATCCTTCTTTGTTTAACTGGTCAGCAGTTTCCTATATATTCTATATCGTCAGCTAATTCGTCAGCAGTTTAGTGCGACCCCTTCCATGATCGCACCGTTTGTCGGTGAGTTAGTAAATTCTGACCAAGCACCGGTAGACGCACGACAATGCGATACGATATTATTCCAAATGTCGCTTCGCATTGTCGAGTGTCGCTTCGCGTTGTCGAGTATCGCTTCGCGTTGTCGAGTGTCGCTTCGTATTGTCGAGTGTCGCTTCGCAATGTTGAGCGTCGCGGTGTAAAAATCATAAAATAACGTGACATTTACTCGACATTTTTAAAAATGTCGCTTCGCGATGTCGAGTGTCACTTCGCATTGTCGAGCGTCGTATCGCATTGTCGCGTTGTCGTTTCGCATTGTCGAGTGTCGTGGTATGCACTTCTACCAACCTCGACACTCGACAATGCGAAGTGACAATGCGACAACGCGAAGTGACATCGCGACAACGCGAAGTGACATCGCGACAACGCGAAGCGACGCTCGACAATGCGAAGCGACACTCGACAACGCGAAGCGACATTTCTTAAATGTCGCCCTTTTTTACCGCGACATTTCTAGGCGACAGTGCGACATATCGTTTGACACTGTCGAGCGTCGCTTCGCATTGTCGCATATCGCTTCGCGTTGTCGAGCGTCGCTTCGCATTGTCGCGATGTCACTTCGCATTGTCGTGTGTCTACCCTTAGACGCGACGGACGACATTCTAAATGGCACGATAAGGACACCGTACATGTCAGGTATCATATGCTTTTTCTTGAATATGTTGGAAAATAACATGTGGAAATAAATTTTGATAATATGCTAGCTTATGATGAACATTAGACCTTTATCGTTTTACTTTTGTTAAAACATTTTTTTTCTGAAGAAATAGTTTAGGAGAAAAACATGAGAAAATAATTTCCTATCAACGATGCTACATGTATATTATTACAGAATGAAAATTTCATTTCAACAAAAGAGTTGTTATCATTCTTCTTTATCGAGATATAGTATCTATTCTTTTAAATGCACTGAAAAATAACATGATGATTCATATACTGTCCTTGACACAGGGTTTTAAATCAAATAAAAACTTAATGTATACTGTAATGTCTGCTATATCATAGTTACTGGACAAGCATGGGTAAAGAGATTAAACGACGCAGCCGTCTGGTTTCTAAATCTATTTACTAATGATACTACAGAGAGGTGATGCCAGGTGAATTTAAGCGGGGCTTTTCAGCTAGTGGTTGATACAAGCTGACCAATAGCTAGTCAATATATTACATATACTATACAGTGACTTAAACCAAAGCCTCTTTATCTAACAGTTCCACGGACAGTAGACTGTTTAATTTATTTTGAATATATATATCCGATTTTAAAAGTCGAATGAAATCTTTATTTCAAGTATGAATGTAATATATTATATAATACAAAAACATTCATGTCATGTTTGTTATTTTAATACGTAAATTTCAATTTCAATAAAATGTAAATTATTTTATAAAGTACTAATTATACATCAGCAGTTAATTATGTAAAACTGTTTGTCTTTATAGGGTGGATATATATACGACATTCATCAATGATCATAGATTCAATCACCAGCAGTATTATTTGGATACAGTTACTCGTGTACCAGTAAGTAAATTTATTTTAACTTTACAAGTTAAATGAATTTCGCTGTTGTCGATTAATAAAACTAATCAATCTTTACTAAAGATGTTTAAACTAAAACAAACTCCTTTGATAAATTTTATCTGTACGTAAGTTAGTTCATTTGTGTCATTCTCCCTTTCGGATAGTGAGTTTAGACTCCACATGTCCTTAAGAAAGTCAAAGTGGTGATAATGTTATCTCTATGGAATGTCAATAGAGTATAAGGCACAAATGTGTGCGAGGAAAGTTACTTTATAAAGTCGCGATGTAAATGTACATTTAACTTCAAAATACGCTAACTTAGGTAGACGCTAAGCTACTAGAAAAATAGATTTCAACATTTAATGTTTTACATAATGACAAGCTAGTCGATACACGTCGATCTTAACACATCAAGTGATGCCCCAATCATCAATTTTACCACCTTGAGGGATAAGAGACTCTAAACCTATGCTGACATTTACATTTATTCTTTTAAGTTTTCAATTCGTTGAAAAATACATAAGTAAAATTGTGTCTCTGAGTAAACTAAGGGGACAGCCGGGTAAAGGGCTTGACCTTACTGTACACACTGAATAACGCTGTTCAATATTTTTTAAATTGTTGCTATGATTGATCAGTGAAACAATCTCTCTTTTCAGGAAAGTTGTTGGAAGGATGCCACTGTTTCTTAAAAGTAAGGCAGACGACATAGAACAACAAGTAAAGAATCTTATTACAGTGATTGCTGAATACAAAGCGGAAAAAACTAAATATTTGGAAGATAACAGAATTCTAGCAGGGAGGTACTCCAAACTTAATGACAAAAACAACATGTTTATTGACAAAAACAAAATGCTTGAAAACGAAAAGAGGAAATTAGTAGAACACAATTCGGAACTCAGAAACACAAACGACAATCTAAAGGAAGACTGCAAGAAACTTGAAGGAAACTATGAACACTTGATAGAAATGAAAGACGCAGTAGAGATTGAAAACCAGAAGCAAAAGGAAATCATTCAAGATCTTTCTAAGAAGGAACAAAAACTTAATACGGTGTACGAAAAAGAGATATCGAAGAACATACAATTAGAAGATGAACGCATCGAACTTCGGAGAGAAAATGACGGACATATAAATCGTATCAAGCAACTAACAAAGAAAGTTTCTGACATGGAACAAGAAATCAAAAGTCTTCAAGAAACGATTAACATACGCGTATCTGAAATCAGTGAAGCATCTGACCACATTCATTTCCTGGAAAATAAGATTGAATGTAAAGAAAACAATATTCAAGAATTGCGGGGAAACATCAGTAGATTGACTGAAGAGAATAAAGTTCTAGAACAAGAAAAACAGGACGCTCTTGGAAGGTATCATTGTGATTTGTTATGATCCTAAACCGACTTTAATAACAGATTAATCAGCCCAATAGGCTATCTATATTAAACAATTTGTTAATGGCTGAATATAAAATTACTTTATTATCTGTTAAAGACATAGGTAAGTCTTAAGAAATATATATGCTACCTATTATATGAATATATCTTTTTATGAATAAGTTAATTGATATATTCAGATTAAGAGAGCAATTGTCAGTCAAACTTTGGGACAATAACCCTGACATTGTACACCTGAGCGACCCGAATCGTGCGACAAAATTGGCAGAAATGTTCGGAGAGTTGTATGACAACGAATGGACTAATGCTTTTAGTGTCCTTGAAGATGACTTAACAGAGGAACATGCAATTACAGTGCTACTTGATATCGTGATGGTATGTTCGACTATGATGTTCAAAACCATAACATATTATAAGGTCCTATTATCATTAATGGGCTATCATTTTTTCCATCAACTTTGAAAACAAAACTCGTTTCTATATACACAGTATAAGTATCATGACCCTTCGTTTTGTAAGGGCGTTGCCTTTTCGATATGCGTTAAAAGAATCAAGATGTTTAGTTATTTACATTTTAGTTCATTAGCATAACAAACCATATCTAATATATACACATTTGTATATGCATACGATTACGCT